AGGGGACTTCATTGGCCACCAGCATGACCCAGTGACACTGGGCAGAGTCTTCTGATAGCTTCCGTGAACTTAACGATTTTCTTGTAGGAAAAAACTACAGGTCTTCTATGAGGCAGGTGAGCACCATCAACCCTTGGAAGCGGACCCCGTGCCACTCTGATCACGCAGACGGGGGAGCGGACCCCGGGCCACCCTGTGCGTGTGGATGGGGGACGGCAGTTCTGTGCAGGCGGCAGGGGCTGCAGCACCCTGAGACCGACTCAGACTAATCCGGTTTAAGCTCCGAATATGACCTACATTAAAAGTGGCAGAATCTGCTGGAGCCTGGTGGGGAAGTTCCTCCCACTGGCTCTCAGTCCCTGAGCCTTCACCATCTCCTCGATCATGAGGGAGGCAGTGCTCCTGACCGCATCTCGGAGAAACCAAATGTGTTTGTGAGAGGCTAACAGATAAACAAAGATCTGTGCTCCCTCTGCTGGCTCCTGACAGCAACGTGAACGCAGAACAGGGCCGTACACAGCGTTGGCATCTTCAGCAAACGCAATCAGTCCGTGTTTCCGGAGAAGAACCTCTCGTTTAGGTGTTCTTTGAGGAAAACCCGTCTTTGTCAACTTCTGAGCAAGGGACTTGAACATTCTTAACAGCAGGTATCACAGCGCAGATGCCGGCAGTCCTCCTCCACCGAACTGCGAGCTGTGACTGCAACAGCGGCTTGGGGTTCATTTACCAACAGACACAGTGGATTCCTCTGAGACTTTAAGGTCCAGACATAATCTTTAAAGCTGTTCTGGGGGAAAAAAACCAAACTGAAGTCCAAGCTGAAGTTTCTTTTTTTTTCTCCTTTTGTTTTATAAGAGCACCTTCCAAAAAGTAAAGATTTATACTATTTATATCCTTTCCGATAATGTCAAACATTAGACTTGATTTTCCAAGTCATTAGCATGCAGAAGACTGACCTCATGGTGAGCAGATGCACTTGGCTGTGAGCTGCACTGATTACATCAGTCCCAGCCGCTCCGCTTAACCCTTTAGAGGCCTCTCCGCCGGGCCCGGCCCTGGAAACACGCTTGAAAACAGACGTAGTAAGTAGTCCCCCACCCCAGGATGTGTTAAGTGCATCTATAAATACATGCATAAAACACATGTACACACACACATACGTGTGTGTGTGTTAACTGCAGCCATTGTTTTAAACACTGGCCACCTTTTAGAAACTGCTGGTCAGTAAGGAAGGAATCAAAGCAGCCCAGAGCTCAGAGCTGGGTAGGAAAGCAGCTCGAATGCCTTTTATGCCCTGGGCATTATCAATACGAGTGACAGGTCGGGTGAGGTGGCGTCAACATAACATTTTTTCTGATTGGGAAAGTAGCTTTTTAAACCTCTTTGTTAAAAGCTGAGCACCCACCTATTGGCCTAATAACAAAAGACGCTACATCCTCATCCGTGGTCGACAGTGCGACGTGGGGAGGGGCACACTGCCTTGCCCAGGTGCCCCTCCGTGGGCTGCCGCTGGCAGGCAGCAGTGCGGGGGCGGGGAGCCCGCATTTCCCACGTGCGTCTTCGGGCACAAGCATCCCCACGTAGCACAGCTCTTCCCTACACCTAGGACTTAAAGGCTGACATTAGAGGCCTTCCCTCCAGAAATGGGGCTGCCTGCTGCAAAAAACAGTATGGTTCGAATACAGTGTTCAGGTCCCTCTCCCTGTGCTTGGCGGCGAAGCCCTGTTCCGAGGACACAAAGGAGCCCCTAATTCCTCCGACTGTGCACATGCATGTGAGCGGGGGCTGAGGCCCTGCTCTGACGACATCGCGGCCTGGACGGTCTGATTGGGTCCCAAGTGCACTGTGGGAGCTTAAGCCGCTCAGGGTCAATTTTTCCAGCTGGCTTGTTGCTTGGAAGAGCAGACTTCACCTCCGTTTCTTAGTTTAAGCTGGCTGGCTCATCTGGGTTTGACTCTACTCGTCCCAGCAAAATAAAAAGACAAGGTGAATAAATCAGTGAAAAACGCTTTCATCTGTAAAAGTAGAAACAGACAGGCACAGGGATTCCTCAAAAGCAAAACTGGCTGTGAGCCGGAAGAGGACGTGGTTCTGAAAGTGTGCTTGTGCACGGGACAGAGGTCCCCCCCAACCAAGTTCCAGTTCAAAGCAAGTTCATTTTGGGCTCCTTCCTGATGGCTGTCGTGGGCAGAGACGCAGCGTGTGGGAAGAGAACGTTGTGCCCAGACTCAGAGTCACATCCATGGGCCGGTGTGAGACGCGTAGAAAACGTTACCACCCCACACCGAACACCCTACGCCCTGTACGTCGTGAAGCGTGACCCTGATGCCAATCATCTGAAAAGAGGAAGGACAGCGTGTGTCTCGATCCCACCTCTGGTCTCATGTGCCTTTTGTACAGGCACCAACACCCACTCTTAACGAGCCGTCAGGACCTTTATCCGGTCAGTGACTTCGGCAGATGCAACATTCTTACAGAAGCCTATCTCCAAACAGCAGGTCTTTAAAAAAACCCAAATCACTCCTAGAGGCTCACTCACGCACGGACTCATTTGAATCGGTTTAAATAATTATGAACTTTTGGGAAAGATCAAGTTAGCTTACGTAGAGGCTAAAATATACAAGGAAAAGAAAGTTCATCAATATTTGTTTCAGTAACACCTTAATCATGTAAAGCACAGGGAAATACGTTCAATATCTTATAATAACCCATAATGAGAAAGGATGTATGTGTATGACTGGATCACTGTGCTGTACCCCAGAAACTAACACAACATTGTAAATCAGCTCTACTTCAATAAAAAAAATCGTAATCAAGAGCCCTAAAAACAGAACAGCTGAGTTAAGGAATGGAAGTATCTCATTACTTAATTTCTTCTAATTTTAAAAAAACAAAAGCTTTCTCAAGAGTTTAAAAAAAAAAACAACAAACAACCCTGCACTGAAAAACTTGGTCCCCATCCCTCGTGAAGATGCAAAAATGCTGAATGAGAACTTTTTGTTTTTTCAAGACGAGCTTTGATCCTTCGTGCTCCTTCGCCTAAACATCAGAAGTGGTTTTAAACCTGCAGCCAGACTGGGAATGAAATCTTCATTTCTCTTGAAACTGACTTTTTCTTGGTCTTAGGTAGGATGTCGGCAGAGTGTGTAAGAGAATTCGACTCACAGCTGTCCTGCTTTTTTAATGTGAGAAACGTTAATCACAGCTTCGTGTGGGCTTTTCTCATGGTGCTTATTTAGTACCGCAGCTCAGCAGAGACGGACAGAGGCCGGCGTGGCTCCGGCCGCCCCGCCGGGCCGGCGTGATTATGTAAATCGCGGGGCCCCGCACCTCCGCCAGCCCGCTTATCTCCCCGGCCTTCTGCCTGCTGCTCCCGGCCCCCGCGCCAGCGCCGGCCGCTCCCTCTTATCAGCCGCAGAGCGCGGGGAGGCCAGGACTGCAGCCAGCGATGTTCAACAATGATGCATGGCTGGTTTTATTTGTAGGTGATTTATTTCACTGAATTTAATTTTTTTTCACTTTGTGTGTAAGATATTTGTTAACAAGTCAGAACGGGAGGAGCCAGGCAGCAGTGGGAGAGCAGTGACACGGGGTGGAAATCTGTCAGGCCCTCTAAGAGCTGCGCTGGCCGGGCGGGAGGAGGCGGCCCTCGTTCAAGGTCTCAGCCTGCGTTGACTGAACACCCCATTCCCTTCTGGAAAGGCAACTGACTCGAAACTACACACAGAAATGTATGAGTAATTCTACTCCGTGTGTGTTGTGGGGGGCCCTCAGTGATCATTTCATTGGTTTAGGTGCCAGCACACATTTTTTTCCCCTAAATGGGAAATATAAAAAGAGTAAAACCTAAACACAAAAATTTTGGAATTCCGGCTGGTCTGGTGAGTGAGAGTGCTTCTGATCGTTTCTAGCAGGTTCCCCACCAGCTGCTGCTCTCAGCGGCCTGTCCACGTGACAGGGGTGCTCGCCGCCCGTGTGATGACGGACCAAGGGCCGTCCCCCATCTCCCCATGTCAGCCCCTCACCCGGGGTCTCCACAGCGTAACCCCGCTCAGCACTGGTAGCAACGGCTCCGACTGTGAGGAACTCTTTTAGATGAGTGAACGCTGATTCGGGCCCCGCTTTTCAACAGCATATTCCCAGCTCAGCAAGAAACCCCACTCCCGAGCGGGCCGGAGCACATCACTGAGAGAAAGTTCATTAACCCCACTAGACGCAGAGGTTAACAGGAGAGTGGAAGAACAGAACCGGGGGAACAGCTCGGATACAAAGCAAATTAAAATGGATGTCACCGCTCCTTTTGACATTCATCAGCTGATGCAGAGGGAGACCGCGCTTCTTACATCTGCGAGCGTTTATCTGTGCAAAACAGGTGTACGTCGGCGGCGCGGGTGCACTTCGGGGCCGGGGGAGGGAGGACGGTGCAAACACTCACCGGTTCCACCGAGGGAGTAGCCGGGGGACGGGGAGAAGACCTGGGCTGTGAAGTCCTCGAACGTCATGACTTCCCGGTGGTTCTGAATTACCGCTTCGAGGTACCGAGCTCGCTCCTCGTAGCTGCAGGAGTGGGTTAAGGAGCCAAGCACATGGGCAGCAGGACACACATAACAGTGACAGAGTTCACCTTGTGTTCAATACACTGGGCACCTTTTGCACTCATGTGGGGAAGAACGTACCTGGCCAGTTTGTAAACACCCTGTCAGAGAATTAACATTAGTCATAATTTGTGGCCACATCCCTGTTTTGAGGTCTCAGCGTCTGTTAGACTTTGTGCCCAAACAGGGATCGCTAAAGAATGTGTAAGCCAACAGTTACAGAACCGCATCCAAGGAGCGTAAGGTTGATTGGGACAAACAAACACACACACACAGAGGCGTGACCGGGGCCCCACCCCTTTCCACCCACAGCCGTGGGTAGGGCTGCTTGTCCCTTCTTTGTTCCGTGAATGAAGCGCTCTTCTCAGCCTGCTGACAACGCGAATCGCTACTTCAGGCAAAAACTGGTGATACACGCTTAAAACAGAAGACGGTGCCCGCCACTGGGTGGAGGGAAGGCCAGGACGGCATGCTCCCAGGTGGGCACACCAGAGCCTCAAGCCGAGAGGCCATGAGCATCTGAGAATAAGAACTAGTAAGTGGGAAGAAGCTAGCAGGGAGCACACAGCAAAAAAAAAAAAGAAAGAC